TATTCAATTCAATTTTAAGCACCAAATCATAACATAAAGGCTCGAGACCTTAAAATGTATAAAGAAACCCAACAGCTCCCAAAATGATCAGCACTTTGGTGACGAGAGAACAAAAACCCATTGACTACAAGAAACCTCTAGCAGAACCAGACTCAATGTGTTGTAACCATCCTGTTTATAATCATTTTCAGTTGTTCCTTGGCAACGTCAAGTGTTTCGGGCCTTTTTATCGCAATAACACCAAAAGCAGAACCTGAGTGTATGCTGAGGCTAAAGGTAAGTGTAGTGGCAACTGGCTCATGTCATAGGTGACAGAGTTAAAAGCTGTCCCATTTATGAAGCTAAATAAAATGCAGTTGCAACAAAAGTAAGTGTAATTTGTCTTATCCGCTGGAGGTCGTTTTGGTTTACAGGGTCAAGTGCTACAAAATTTGCCACAGACTTTATCTACGTAAAGTAGGGAACTGTTCTTCATCATCTGCTTCCATCAAATGTGGTATCCCTCAAGGTTCAATTTTAGGCCCACATTTATTCTCACTTTATTGGTGTCCTCTTGGCTTGTTCAGTTGTTTTGCTTACCAGTGACCTCCACCAATGGCTGCTTGACCAAAAATCACTGTTTAGATGACATCAGCATCAATATCTTAGTGATTTGATTGTCTGAATTGTATGTTAAATGTACATATTCACGTATGACTTTAAATGTATTTAACTAACTCACTCAAGTTATTTGATTTATTCACACTAACTTACCATGATAGAAAACACTTCATTAAAAGTGACAGTTTACATTGAACTCATTTAATACATTTAAATGGAAATTGAATGTGATTGAAATGCTTATGTTAAGCTTTTTTTCATGAAAGATGCGTAGGAACCCCATGTACATATGCAACAATAGCTGTTATTTAGAAATGTTGATCATTTACTTTTATTTCTCTTTCTTTAGGTTCTATAACACAGTTTTGTAACGATGTAAGCTTTGTGGGAGGGTGTCGATGAGACAGTTAACATTTTATACACCGTATTTGTATTCTCCAGTGCTACAAAAAATCTTCATAGGTTTCATCAAAAAATAAATGGAACTCAAATGAGACTCTTCACAGTCACATTTGTAATAAATGAAGTTGCAGAGTCCACAAATGCTGACTTTTGCCAACTGGATGGACAGGTTCCTTAGGTGTGCATACAACCTGTGAGCTGCTTGAACCAGACAGTGTTGACAGAAACATTTTGCTGTCTATCCCGTCCAGACACGTTACTTTTAATCTCATATCTGTAACGACTGACTTGTTTTGAGAGTCGCTCTTCCTGAAATAGTCCCCTCTTGTGCTCTGCAAAAATGTAAATAATCTCACTGAAATTTAGGCCCGTACGTCATCTGCTATTTCTTTTGAGAAACAAATCCAGCCTCTCGAAAAGTTAGTGAAAGAACACTGACACTGTACATGAAGATGGACATCTGTTTAGTTTCTAATCTCTTTTTCTACCCTCCACCCACCTACACCCTCTATATACTGTCTCCCGCTTCCCCCCGAACAGAGTCTGTTAACAAAAGTGCTTTCACAAGAAAGCAGTTGAATTAATTGATTTAATTAATTAATCATCTATCAGAAGAATTGAATTAAATGAAAGAAAAAAGAGAGCAAGAAAGAAAAATACATTATAAAATAATAAAGTAAATATGAGCAAACAATAAAGTAATAAAATAGTGCTTACAAGAAATCTATGTTATTTGGTCACTTGGTCAAACCTGTACATCTCTAAAATATGAACTACTCTGCAGGGACATAAAGTAAAACACCATACATACAATAACACAGGATGGCAATTAGTGAGAATTGCCAGGCCAAGAAAGACCTCCTCCATTACCTCCCTCCTTCTACTGCTTTGCTTTAAGGGGGGGAC